GTGCAGGAGAGGGCAGGATTTCCTTCCATCTGTTCTTCATAAGTTCACCTTCAATTGTCTCAAAGACACTTACCTACCGCAAACAATGCAATACTGTTGCTTTTATGTGCTGTCAAGTCAACTAGGACTCATAGTGATTCTATAAACAACAACTCCGAGCCTTGCCCTATCCTGAGCCTACTTCACATCTCTGACACACTTGACTCCATTGTTAGAGTCACTATGCCGATCCATCTCATCCATGGTCTTCCTCTCTTATGCTTTCCTTCCACCCCCAAAAGCATGGTGTCCTTCTCTAAGGACTGGCGCCTCCAGATAACATGCTCAAAGTGTGTGAGCCAGAGCTTCAAAATCCTTGCTTCCCAGAAACAATCTGATTTCTTCTTTCTCCAAGACCTTCTCCCTGTTCTCTTGGCAGTCCATGGTATGTTCAATATTCTTCTCCTGTACTATAACTCAAAAGCATCAATTTTTCTGTTACTGTTATATGTTTCATCATTGTCCAGCTCTCTGATGCACAGCAAGCAATTGAGAAGCCTATGACCTGCATCAGGTGCACCTTAGTCTCTAGTCTGACATCATTGCTCTTTAGTACTCTGGAGAGATCCTTGACAGCAGAGATTCCCAATGAAATTAGTCTTTTGAGTTCCTGACTGCTGGTACCAAGGTATTTGGGGATCCAAGGAAGAGGAAATCGTTGACAATTTTTATCTTTTCTCAATCTATCATGATGCCCAGTGGCCCAGTGATGAGAATTTTTGTTTTCTTGATGTTGGGACACAACCCATATTGAAGGTTACTGTTGTTAATCTTCTGCAGCAAGCACTTCAAGTACTTTCCAGTTTTGGAGAGCATGATTGTGTCATCTGCATAATGCAAGTTGTTGAGGAATTGTCCTCCAATCCTGATGCCACATTCTTCTTCATAAAATCCACCCTCTCAAATGATGTGTCCAGCATATAGATTGAAAAGGTGTGGAGGAAAGCTCTATCCCTGTCACACACCTTTCTTGATTTTGAACCATGTAATGTTTTCTTGCTCTGTTCAGACAAGAGCTTCTTGGTCTGGGTCTAAGTTGGTTTTTGTTTTTTTGGGGTGTGTGTGTGTCTGTGTGTGTGTGTGTGTGTGTGTGTGTGTTTTCCCCTCTCTGATTTTATTTACTTTTTAAAAAAATTGTAAATTTAACAAAAGTTTACAGAAAAGTTGGATTTTTCATTCACTCATTGTTGCACATTTTCTTCTCTACCTCTCCCCATTGTTGTTTTGTTTTTAAAAACCATTCATTGTTGCATAATTTTCTCCCTCCCCCTTCCCTATTCCACTTTGTTATACACGTCTTATTCTGGACTATTCTCATACAAATAATGCATAATCATGTTATTGTCAAACAGTTCTTTCTTTCATCTGTCCCAATGCAGTGTCCATTATTTAATCCCTCTTTTCTTAGGTTTTCCCCAACCCCCAGTCCGGTTATATAACAGGGTATTTTGTATTTGTCCTTTTGTGACAGATAGTTCACTCAGCTTAATGTTCTTCAGGGTCACCCATGTTCTGTAATGTTTTACAAGTTCCTTGTTTTTCAGTGCTATGTAGTATTCTCTTGTGTGAATATACCACAGTTTTTCTATCCATTCATTTGTTGATGGGCACTTGGGTTGCTTCCATATCTTTGCTATTGTGAATAATGCAGCAATAAACATGGGTGTGCATATATCTGTTTGAGTGGCAGCTCTGGTTTCTTGAGGGTATATTACTAGTAGTGCGATTGCTGGGTCAAATGGTATTTCTATTTTCAACTTTTTGAGAAAGCGCCAAACCACCTTCCATAGTAGTTGCACCATTTTATACTTCCACCAGCAGTGAATAAGAGTTCCAATTTCTCTACAATCTCACCAGCATTTATTGTTTACTGCTTTGTTGAACTTTGCTATTGTTGCAGGGGTGAGATGGTATCTCATATTTGCATCTCTCTGAAAGCAAGACATTAAAGATGTCATAGTCCTGGTATACTGACAGATACATAGATCAATGGAAGATAATTGAGAACCCAGAAATCAGCTCATCAATCTATGCTCAATTTATTTTTTACAAGGAGATGAAATAAGTTAAGTGGGGAAATGACAGCCTTTTTAACAAATTGTGTTGGCAAAATTCTATCTTCTGTAGAAATCTCAAGCAAGACCTATACCTCACACCATACACAAAAACCATCTCAAGGTAGATCTAGGAGTAAAACCAAAGACTACACTTCATTAGAGAAAAGCTTGAAAGAACTCTTGAAGCGCTAATCCATATTATGAACAATATGGAGATGAAAGAAGAAGTTCAGGCTGCTTTGAAGGAAATGGCAAAAAATAAGGCTCCAGGAATAGATGGTATACCAATTGACACATTTCAGCTAACAGATGCTGCCCTGGATGTTCTCCCCAAGTTGTGCCAAGAAATCTGGAGAACAACCACTTGGCCAACTGACTGGAAGAGATCTATATTT